AAAAAGAAAAAAGATATAAGTAATTCAAAAGAAGATTCAATATCAGAGGCTTGACTTCATTCTGTTAAATCTGCTCGCATAATTGTAATTATTTATTATTAAAGTTATTTTGTTATCTGTTGATTTTTATTATATCGCGCGTTATAAAATATGAAACCACGCTAAAAGTGATATACGCTGATAAGGTATACTTTACGGAAATATCGCCGTTCTCGGCAGCTAATAAAAAGCGCGAGCGCGGAGGTGCTCGAATGCGAAGCAAGGATGTTCACGATGATGAGTGGCGAAGGAGAAGGCGTAAAGGAACGGAGGAATAGGTACCTGAGAATGTGAAGTAGGGTGATTTTGCCGAGGCCTTCTAAGCGGCGGGATTAAGCTTTCTTTTTTCGTTGCATGGATAAAGAATCGCCGTCGCTCGGTTAGACGCATCGTCGACAAAAAGTGAAAGTTACTTGTGGATGTAAAAAGATTGCAAAAGGGTTTACAGGACTCTCAATAAGACGGAAGAATACTCCGCATACCTAACTTCCGGATCATTATTTTATCGTAACAAGAATGAAAGGAAAAGAGATAATTATATATTATATATATTAATTATAGTAAAGTAATAATAAATAATTTTATATTGATTTATAATAAAAAATATAGATGGAATAATAATTACTTTATAATAAGAAAATCATAAATCAATATGATTATTTAACAATTAATCAAAAGTGATAGAAATTTAAGATGCAATTTTTTAAAAGATAAAGAGAAATGTTCTGTTATAATACAATTATCTTCCAAATACGTTTCAATTTGCTTTTTAACTACTAATTCTAACACTTTTTCAAATATTGGTAACATATTTATAGGCCTAAATTGCACTTGCTTTTCTAGCTTTCTCTACTTTTGGACTCGGTATTATTGTAGACGTTTTCCAACCTTTTGGACAGCAACCTCCCTTCAAAGAATTATTTATTATATCAACAAATTCCTCTTTTATTACGCAAAATACTGCCTTTAATATATCGACAGCAACCTTCCTTCAAAGAATTATTTATTATATCAACAAATTCCTCTTTTATTAGGCAAAACACTGCCTTTGATATATCGCTAGTTATTCCCTACTCTGTATCTTTCTTTTTCGGTAGTCCCATAACAATTTCCTGTAAATGCTCTATACTAATCATTTCAAAATTTTCCATAATTCCCTCGTTTTCAATAACATAAATAATTCTTTTACATGCATTCCCAGTTTTACTTCTATTTATAGATTGTACTATACTATTAATACTATGTAGGAGAGAGAGAGAAAGGGAGAGAGAGAGAGAGGGAGAGAGAGAGAGAGAGAGAGAGGGAGAGAGAGAGAGAGAGAGTCGTGAATAAGAGAAGTAGACTACAACGACTTGGATCACAATCTGGTAAAAGCAATAAATTAATATTATAAAATTAATAGTTAGCATCTTAGTTTTCATCCTAGATTTATCGCGATTTTTTGTGTACCGTCGATGATGTGTGCAATATTTTGTTATTGCAGTTTTATATTACTTTCTTTATTATACTAGATGTTGTCAAACATATACTATCTCGAGATTAGGAAGAGAATAGAATTGATTATCTTTGCAGAATACAATCAACGTTTTCATTTTACATATCACATTAATAAACAGTTCTTATTGTAATAATGTAATAATGTTTGTACGAGCCTTAATCCCATTTTTGAATTATTGATTTATTAGCGAGAAAAATTGTGGCTAGATCGAGAATAGATAAAGAAATTTTGAAAGCTTTTTGCCATGATCTTTCATAGCTACTATTATACTATATATACTAGTTGTTATGATTTTATAAAGCAATAAGAGGTAACAAAAATATAAACATCTTGTTTTTCGTGTGATTTCATACATATTTTATGGAAAATAGAGTATAAATTATTATTAATTTTCCAATAAACATATATATATTAATTCTTATAAATATGTTATTACTCTTAATTGCGGCAATTATTTACGCTCTAATTAAAAATTTATTATACAAATGGCAAAATAATACAAATTATTAATTAAAACTAGATTGTATCGTCTTTTTTATCTTAATGTTCTCGATTATAGTTTTTTTTACTATTTTTATATATCTTACCATTTTAATTATTTTTTTCTCATACTATATATTATTTCATAGACGTCATTTTCAATCTGACAATTTTTTGTTATAGAATTCATTGTTTTTATTTTGCTTAAAATTTGTGTTATCGGGCAATTACAACAAGGTTTCGTTATAAATATAAAATAAATGTCTTTTTTTGCAGACGTTTAAAAGTCGCATAGAAAAGGTTGGACAAAAAGAAGTACGTTCTCGAATTTTATTGAAGTTTACGTGGGAAATCCCTAAACAAGTATTCGTGATGCATTTTATTATAAGATCATTGCGAATCTTAACGCAAACAATTAGTTGGTTATATTCGTTCGTAGCTAGTATTGCTAGTATTAAAGCTGGTATTGCTTTTATACTATCTATATCAGGTAAAATATGATATATACAGTGTGTCCGGAGTCAATCGCATCACCCGTCGTGTGTAGAAAGAGTAGGTGAAACCGAGGAGAAAAGTTCTTCACTATTTTACGATTTTCGTAATAATTATTGAGAAATTAATTGAAAAAGATCGATCAATTCGCGTGAGTATAAGCGCGTAGTAAGAAGGAAACACCCATTGATGTGTGGTTGCTAGGATGCGAGAACC